TTTAGGAACGAAACATTTTCTTTCACTTTGTTGTTTTGGAGATTAAGATGGAGTAGTTCGAGTAGTCGCATACTGGACTAATAAAGTCGCAGTTCGGCCTTAACAGGTAGTATACTAGTCGCAAGATTGCCTAATTTAGTCATCCTAGAGTCTAGCTTGTGCCGCCCTCTATAATCTAAATAAACGAGGGAGTGGATAAACTATCGGTAATATATGTCGATGTATATTTAAATTTAGTTTTATATGTACCTTTCTTATGTCCCATTTTAATTAAGTTTTTTTTTATAAAAACAAAAACAGCACTGAACTGTCTGACTGAACAGAACAATGAAGTGAAATTTAAGATTTAAGGTTATGGTTCAATACAGTTGCAAAAAGGTAGTGACTCGACGTCCTACCAACGTAAGAATAAGGAAATCTAAACAACGTTGGAATTAGTAAAACAGACGACGTTAGCATAACGTTGGAATAGGTCCTGAAACTGACGTCGGAAAACTCTATATTGTCCAACGTTGTAACTACGTTGTCCGAATCACCTAAAGATCACTTAAGCAAAAAAGGTTACAAGACAACGTTTATTCGACGTCGCAGAAGCTTCCTACTTTGCTGTAGTACTAGTCCAACGTCGGCATAACGTTATAAAAACGTTTAAATTTATTTTAATACCTAAGGTAGGGAGCTAACTATCTTTTGTAACTAATCCAGCGTTGTGTTTGGTTGGTTGTGGTCGCAAGTTGTGAAAATGCTACTTGGGAAGCTTGTGGCAACACTGGGTAACGGTCTGTGCCATACGCGGCTAAGAAAATCACTATAATAAACTTGGAACTGTACCAACCTTTTGATTTCATGCATATTTTCATCGATACGTTTGTGGCTTCGGAAAAACGGTCTAGATAAAGCATCTAGCTCTTTTGCCAGCTCAGAATTAGAATTTAGAGTTAGTAACTCGCATTTTCATTTGAGGACACATCAGTCATATTTATTTCAAACCAATAATCAACGAGATTATACGTATAACTTAATAAAATTACTATAAATCACTATAAATAATGAATTGTTTGTGATTGAGCTGTAATTTCTGTATTATTAATCCGGTAAATGATGGAGATAAACAATTGTGATTGATCAAAATTTTATTTTAAGATGAAACTTTTGTGAACAACATTCCGAGAATTCGAATAATGAATTGAATAATGACAAGACAAATGACATCTGTCTAAAAAAGACAGCGATTTAGAGTGACAATTTAGTTATGTAAAATTTAGATTAAAAGTTCAAAAAATCATCCAAATCGGCCTACTGGAATAAAATATATTCCAACTTTAAAATACATGAGTATTTCAAAGTGTCCGTTTTTGGTGTCGATCGTTGTTGAACATTTGTAAAACATGAAAAATGGAGCATTTTTGGTTGAGATCGACCAATCCCTGAATCGACTGGACGATGGGTTGGGTTTGGGTTGGTTTTATCGCAGTCCTGCGCTAGTTACGAATGGACCAAACACCTGCTAAATGAGCTCGTAAAATTGCGGTCAAACTAATACCCGCGGCGGCTCTAATCGAAAACACGTTTTGCACTTTCCGTCTGACAATTTATAAATTAGAGTTATAATTATCGGGCTCGAACTCGTACAGGATATATATTCGAACATGCCATTTTTTTTGAAATAGTTATTACTCTTTATTTTACATTACTATGAGGATTATTTTAAAACATCTTAATTAATTTCAGAATGAGTTTTTTGTCGATTAATTGCTTTGTCTTTTAACACGTTTAGCGTCATCATGATAAAAAAAATTTGGTCTTTAGACCACTGACTGGGTAAAATTTTTCAAAACGTATCAAAAATGATGTTTCTGTTTTTTTTAATATATATATACACTACTGGCAAAGGAATATTAGCAATAGGAGGTTTTCAATGCAATAAAAAAAGATGGTAAGGCTGCAAAATACACTGCAGTGCAACAGAGACGGATAAAGTGTCTTTTCCCTACCATCGTATAGGGGAAGTGATCATAGAAGTGATACGACGAGAGAGCCCCTGCGAGAGGGGGCGCCGGGCGGGTCTTTAAGACGCTTGTGTGGGGGCTACCGCCTACTAATAGAACAGAATCGAAAAAATAGAAACAGGACGGACAGTGTTGCCATTCAATTAAATCGAAATTATGTTGGCTTGTCAAAATCCTAAATCTTCTAATCCCATTATCTTGCCTACTTAATGAAATATTAAATAAAGTACGAAACAATTTTACGAATGTTTTCTCTAGGCACATAACTTCTTTCTAAAACGAAAAGTAACATGCAAAACTTTGATATCATTTCTAAAATAGCAAGTGCAATTCTATGAAATGGCAATACTGTACGATCTTCCTAGCAGTCGCCCCGACACAGTCGGTCGGCGGCGGCGCTTCACAAAGCCGCGGCTGTGACAAAGGAATTAGGCCGAAAAAAACTTTATAAGGAGTAGACGAACAGGGTTGCCGGGTTTGTTAGATTATAATTCCATACGAGAACAAAATTCTCGGTAGATCTTCAACAAAAATTAAAAGTACAGAAACGAAATAAAATATAATATTTAAGTCCAAAATTAGCATTCCTATGTGTCGTAATAATAGATCACTCAAATAAAATACAAATATAATAAATATAACAAGAATTAGAAATAGCTAGGTATATTATTTAATATTAAAAAAAATATTGAATTAAATAATATTAATATATTAATAAAAACATATAAAACTATAACAAGTAGGGATAGCAGTCACAAATTAGTGTAGCAGTCACTTTTTACCTTTGTACAAATTTTGATCAGTGATATCTAAAATTAATTTCATTTCAATGGGAAGCTGTAGCAACTCTCAACTCTTTTTCATATTAATATATTTTTTTGACGGGAAAATCACTAAAATATTTGTCCGAATTTAGGTTGTTTCTTAACTTAAATTTTGTTTTTTGTTTACATTTTTTGGGGAAAATATGGGTTCAACTTTAGTAGATGAATGAAATAAAATCTTTTCAAAAGATATCAACTTCTTCGGGCATGTCGCCAATACCGCGCCTAATAAGGAGTAATAAGGAGTAATAAGGATTTTTAGGAATATCTCTGTAACTCTGCAACTAGACAGAACGATGACCTGTATGTGTGTTATTACTAAATAAAATTTAATGAAACAATAATAAAGTCAAATTATACAGATTCCAACACGGCAGTCGCTTAATTTTTAGTCAAATAAGTCAGCTTTTTATAAGTGCTTCTATTGTAAAAACTAAAGACGCAGTTGAATATATCGTTAGATTTTTCTTTAAATCGGTAGATCGGTAGCTTACAGACGAAACCGGTAGACCTGGCAACTCTGTGATGAACTGACGGGAGTCAGAATAGCGAGGTGCGGAGGCGCGGGAAGGGAAATAAAATAATGGCGATAAATAAAGGGCAGGGAGATGGGTATCATGAGTGGATGGGAGGTGGCGGAATTTCCAAAATTTGTTATCTTATTGGAGTTTGTCTAAGTAGACAGTCGTAGTGGAAGTGGAAACGGGGAAGTTGTTGTCCATCTCTGTTTAAGCATAGACTTTTTATAGGCGTTTCATTCCAATGCATGTAATTCCTATGCCTAGAGATCCATTGCCGGGCCTGTATACGATTTTGTCTGACCATTCTTCACCATTCCCACGTGTTCCTGACGATTTATAAGCGCGCTCTGAAATTAAGGCCCTCAGAAAAGTATCCCCTGTATTATGCAAGATGGCCGGTTTAATGCATTCCAAGAGCTCTCTCGCGCCAACAAAAGAACCCGAATTTTTAATTAAACAAATTTTCTTCTTCTTCTTCATCGTTTTATTCATCTTTTTATTTTTGGTACGATCGCATCATCGTTTTATAGTCGTTTTATGACGATCCAGAAATTAATACTAAATTATCGTGACAAGAGGTTAGGTTAGGTTGTTTTTTTTTCTGTCGATGTCGTTAATTTTTTATCGACTTGTGGTGGCGCGGCGCGGCGTAGCGAGAAAAAATCTGAATGAGATTTTGAATCATATATTTTTTCGGTAAAGTTCAGAGTAAAGATGGTTTGACGTTCAGTTATTTATGCAGTTCCTAAAAAATCCTTTTTATACAGGATGTCCCTTAATGACGTGATAATATTTAAGGAGGTGATACTTGGACTTATTTTAAGAAAAAAAACTTCATATGAATGACAGGGTGTTCTACTAAGTATATCTATCGGATGTATCTCGGAAATATTAGACGTAGAGCCTTGGGAGAAAAATATTTAACAATAACAAAAACAACAACCGCTATCTCATAGGTGTGCTGATGAGGACCAAAAGCAAGAGCACGTTAGTAATGCTAAAATTGCTGTAAATCATTACTGTCCTTCAAAACGAAGTATATCCAACAAAAATAAAGCTATACAGATGAACCAAAAAGCAAACTATCGAGAAAAGACGCTTCTTGATGATAAATCTAAATTTCATACTTTGTTAAACCGTTCCACAGGGCGTTTCAAACTTTCGACCAAATAATGATATTTTATTTTATTAAACGGTTTTATTTAGCTCGACCCGTACGGTATTTATTTACTTGTTTGTTTATTTGGGTCAAAATTAGAAATTGAAATTTAAGTACCTTCCTGTTGTCAGATTGATCTGAAATTTGGTACACACCTTTAGTTCCGATGACAATACAATATAGTGATATTAATAACATTGTAAATCTAAGATGGCCGCCGGTACAAAATGGCGGATTTCATATTTTTCCACAACCCCCTCAATATGGGTATCAAATGAAAGGGCTACACTAGTAGAATACTGTGATTATGACAAAATTTAAAATCCAAGATGGACGTCGTTAAAAAATGGCGTATTAGGTGAGGGCATGAGTAGTAGTGTCCAGAACAGTTGTGTACAAGATTGTGTGACGTTAGATACGCATGCGCATACTGAAAGAACGACAGGTTTCATCTTGCGAATGCGTTTTCGGACTTTGCCAGTTAAATATGCGTGACAGCTCGAGAAAAATAGTCTTCCTCAATACCCGCAAACCGGAGCAACGTTATAAAGTGTTGAAGTTTACTGAAGACGGTCAAGCAGCTGGTTATTGTGCGAATATGTTTGAGCGATACGAAAAGCGACCAACTGAGCATCCCGACTATAATTTCAACAACATGTATTTATAATGTATATGTGTATTTATAATATATATATATATTAATTTCAACAACAATTTATACCATTAAAGCACAGGACCAACTAATTGACGCCACACGAAATACAGATAATTTAAATTTAGCAAATATAATACCAACAGATATAAATAAGACTGGAGGCTTACCATCAGTACTTGAAATATTTGTAGGAGCAAAAGTAATGTTGCGGTCCAACATTGACGTTACAAAAGGATTGGTAAATGGTGCTATAGGCCACATTACAGAAATTGTTTGGCCTCAGTTCCGTCGAACCCAAATGTACGAAACAGATGTACCATCAGTTTGGATTGACGGCATACACGTTATACACCCGAAAGCCATACAGTTTCCAGCAAAATTCAATTATGGTACGGCTGAAAGAAGGATGTTACCCTTAATTTTGTCATGGGCATCCACCGTCCATAAAATGCAGGGCAGCACAGTCGACCATGCAGTAGTGTATTTGGGCTCAAAATTGTTTGAGGAAGGGCAAGCATACGTGGCTCTAAGTTGAGTCAAGTCTCTGGAAGGGCTATGTGTTGAAGAATTAGATTGTAATAAATTATCAGGTAAAATGATACACTAAATGAATTAAATAGAATGAAGAATATTCGGTAGGCATTTCCGTTAAATACCAAAAACTAGAAAATAAAAAATCGGTAAAAAAACTTTTAAGTTAAACGGTTTTATCTTATGTGCACTGAAAACTAGAAAATACTAATAACAATTAGGTATTTTGAACTTCTAGTTCAGAAATATTTTAGTACTAGGCAGAATAGCTTTTAGGCATATTAGACTAAAATAAAAACGTGGGGCCCATTAACTATTGCTGCAATACATTCTTCTATACTAAGTGTGGATTGCATCGACTTACTATAATCGTAACTGGAGATTTTGACAATCAATAACCAGCCGTGGCGGCTTCACCAGCGAACGCCGAGCTCATGATCTACCAAAGTATAAAGATATGCTTTGCCATAGGTAGGATTTCAATATGCCTAAAAGCTATTCTGCCTAGTACTAAAATATTTCTGAACTAGAAGTTCAAAATACCTAATTGTTATTATTATTTTCTAGTTTTCAGTGCACGTAAGATAAAACCGTTTAACTTAAAAGTTTTTTTACCGATTTTTTATTTTTAATTCAAAAATAGATAGCAGAAGATACATATACAGGGTGGTCCGAACTGTATTCCGGAAACTTCGGCAGGTAAAATATTCTGCAGATAAAAATAAATAAAAAAAACGTATAAATGTATTTCCCAAAATACTTAACTCCGGAGATATAGCGTGTAGAAATTTCATTTTATTTCGGTTTTCTCTAAATAATTTTTGAAGTAACGTCAATATTTGGATGAAAATTGGTGTTTGGGAGTTTTTTGATAGGAGAAATTTGGTTTCGATGTCAATATGACTCCTACTTGTAGAGGGCGCCACCTATATATTTTTTAATTGGTTTGAAGAGTAATAACTTTTCGTCCGTACCTGTATAAAACTACTGAGTAAAAAAATATACATTTACGACTTTTTTTACGTAGAAAATGTCTCTTGGTAAAAATCGCTACGAGTAATGGTTCTCGAGATATTTGGACTCGAAATTATCAATACCTGTCATCATCATTGACATAAAATTATTAAACATGCGTTGATTAAATAATTATTAGACTAAAATCACAAATTTGAAATGTTTTTGTGCCAGAAGCTCAACAGAAACTGTTTTATCATTATTTTTTCTGCTGAAGTTTCCGTAATACAGTTTAGACCCTGTATATAGGTATATAGTATTAACGCCAGAAATACCAGTAAATACTCTTTTTTCCTGTTTTTATTCCAATCTCTACACACAAAATTGCAATACTATCCCCTGTCCCATAAATCCACGGCACCTAATAAGTACCATACGCAGGCGATTTTCCGCTTGAACCCAACCTAATATAATATCCAATCTTCTCTCCACCCAAATTCGCTAATTAACTCTCGACCAATTACTCGCTTTCGGTCGTACCGAGCCGTTCGGGCCGTTTCCATTTTCTTTCGCTAATATCTTCGTCCACCATTACACAACACTGCGGCGAAGGTACCGTCCGTCGAGGGTACCATTCCGCCCATTGGAGCCCGAGCGATGCATCGCGAAATTTTACGATTTTTCCCAGAAACAATGGCCAATTTTTACGATGGTAGCCGGTACCGCCTCTTCTTGAGGTACACACAAACAAAAATCCAGGAAAGGAACGAATAGTCAAAGGAACAGCGATTTTGAGAAAGATCTGATGATGGTTGAATAACCGAAATCGAGTACTAATAAACAATTTTATAGTTGTTGTTTGACACTGCGGGTCACAGTGTAACGAAATCGGGAAATGCGGGACATTAGCCCAATAAACAAAAAATTTAATTCATCAAATTTTTTATATAGATGGATAAAGGACATCCCAGAGCTCCACCATGTGAGATATTTCTTGAGTTGACCTCTTAGTCGGGGAGTTATGGCGGGTTAAAGTAATGGTTTCCTTAATTTACCAATTCTGTACAAACATTTCATACAATGAAATTTATTATTTTCAGAAGTTTCCTTGTGTTGTTCAATTCCAACAATTTTTTCCGTAAAGAGAGGTCCTTTACCAACAACAAACCTGAAAAAAATGTCCCAATTTTTTTCAAGTCTAGTTTCTACATGTTTATTATGACTTTCAAAAAAACGCTTACATTCGCGCAAGGTTATAATATATACAAAATATCATAGAGTGAACCTTCTAGTATACTGTTACATATAAATTTCATCCACCTAGATCCGAACCTGGAAGAAAAAAATACATTTCTTCGGCAATAATTACGTTTTCCATTGATTCGACCGTAGTTTGGTGACATGAAAGAGACAGCAGAACTATTTGTTTCCCTTTACTGTTGGTATTATATGCCTTCAAGCATTCATATGCTTTTGGTTCATGGTGCAGATATCTGTGAACGCTTTCAATTTACACCCATCGGCAAAATGTCTGAAGAAGCATCAGAATCAAGAAACAAAGAATTTCGATCGTTCCGCCAACATTTTTCCAGGAAGAGTGGTCGTAAGGAAACTGAAGATATATTGCACAACTTATTGATATATTCAGATCCTCTACTTTCACATCTGCGACCAAAGCACTCTAAAAATAAAAAAGTAGACTTGTATCCGGAAGCGAAAGAGCTCTTGTATATGGATGGAGAAGAAATTGAGAATGATTTTAAAGCATGTTTTATGTAAGTGCCTTACATATTATGTTATTTTGGAATAATATACACCCCACATAAATTATCGCATCACTTGTTAATTTGGAAAACTGCAAAGTATTCTTAAATTCTCTTGGTTAACAATAATCTCAAAAGTTATTTGCATTAATAGCCACTTGTTAAGGAATGGAAAGTATAACATAACTCAGGCAGACCTTAGATTTAAGTTTTTCACATTATAAAAATGTTTGAAGCATTGAACTACGAAAAATATAAGTGTTGCGAAATTTTTTGTGAGGTGTGTATTATGGTTTCCTTCGTTGAAGTTGAATACGTATTTTTCGCATATTATATTATTTAATACTGTTAAAAGATATTTGCCACTTGTGTCGTTCTCTTTGAGTTTTGCAGTTTTATCTAATTTATCATATCTTCGTCCACCATTACACAACACTGCGGCGAAGGTACCGTCCGTCGAGGGTACCATTCCGCCCATTGGAGCCCGAGCGATGCATCGCGAAATTTTACGATTTTTCCCAGAAACAATAGCCAATTTTTACGATGGTAGCCGGTACCGCCTCTTCTTGAGGTACACACAAAAAAAATCCAGGAAAGGAACAAATAGTCAAAGGAACAGCGATTTTGAGAAAGATCTGATGATGGTTGAATAACCGAAATCGAGTACTAATAAACAATTTTATTGTTGTTGTTTGACACTGGTTCGTATTAATCGTATTTAAGAGTCTATTATACGCTGTACTGTTCGGGTCTCTCTCAAGGGTCGGTTAAAGCGGGTCACAGTGTAACGAAATCGGGAAATGCGGGACATTAGCCCAATAAACAAATAAATTAATTCATCAAATTTTTTATATAGATGGATAAAGGACATCCCAGAGCTCCACCATGTGAGATATTTCTTGAGTTGACCTCTTAGTCGGGGAGTTATGGCGGGTTAAAGTTATGGTTTCCTTAATTTACCAATTCTGTACAAAAATTTCATACAATGAAATTTATTCCAACAACAAACCTGAAAAAAATGTCCCAATTTTTTTCAAGTCTAGTTTCTACATGTTTATTATGACTTTCAAAAAAACGCTTACATTCGCGCAAGGTTGTATATACAAAATATCATAGAGTGAACCTTCTAGTATACTGTTACATATAAATTTCATCCACCTAGATCCGAACCTGGAAGAAAAAAATACATTTCTTCGGCAATAATTACGTTTTCCATTGATTCGACCGCAGTTTGGTGACATGAAAGAGACAACAGAACTGTTTGTTTCCTTTTACGGTTGGTATTATATGCCTTCAAGCATTCATATGCTTTTGGTTCATGGTGCAGATATCTGTGAACGCTTTCAATTTACACCCATCGGCAAAATGTCTGAAGAAGCATCAGAATCAAGAAACAAAGAATTTCGATCGTTCCGCCAAAATTTTTCCAGGAAGAGTGGTCGTAAGGAAACTGAAGATATATTGCACAACTTATTGATATATTCAGATCCTCTACTTTCACATCTGCGACCAAAGCACTCTAAAAATAAAAAAGTAGACTTGAATCCGGAAGCGAAAGAGCTCTTGTATATGGATGGAGAAGAAATTGAGAATGATTTTAAAGCATGTTTTATGTAAGTGCCTTACATATTATGTTATTTTGGAATAATATACACCCCACATAAATTATCGCATCACTTGTTAATTTGGAAAACTGCAAAGTATTCTTAAATTCTCTTGGTTAACAATAATCTCAAAAGTTATTTGCATTAATAGCAACTTGTTAAGGAATGGAAAGTATAACACATAACTCAGGCAGACCTTAGATTTAAGTTTTTCACATAAAAATGTTTGAAGCTTTGAACTACGAAAAATATAAGTGTTGCGAAATTTTTTGTGAGGTGTGTATTATGGTTTCCTTTGTTGAAGTTGAATACGTATTTTTCGCATATTATATTATTTAATACTGTTAAAAGATATTTGCCACTTGTGTCGTTCTCTTTGAGTTTTGCAGTTTTATCTAATTTATCCCTGATTATTTGAATATTTAAGAATGCACAACAGAAAATTAACGTATTTATAAACTTTATAGCTCTAAAAACTTTATAAACACCTTTTTCACATTTAAAATCGACAAAATAATTAACTCAAAATTTCTCAGCTGTTATTTTTATTAGTTTACCATAGGCAACCAATAATACACGCTATCATGACAAGGACTACAATGACGTCACAACGGTCAGCTGTAGCGCGGGAAGAGGCGAACGCACGTCTTATGAGGATGAGCAATCCTATTGGTTTACCGTTC